ATGGTAAGTTTAATTTCCTTAATTATAACAATTGCAGCGTTGTTTTTAAACTTGTAGTCAAGCTATAACGTATTTGATATTTATCATGTATGACTAAAATCATGCAGGGATTAAACATTTATTCCGAGCAAAAACGTTAAGGTTTTTCTTTTTTTTTCCTTTCTGGTAGCCTACTAGTTCGGAGGTCTCTTTCGGCCCGTTTTAACTAAATAAAAATAACTGCTTTATTTAATTAGAAGCAGGGTAATTTAAATTTCATTTTTATATTGTAATTTTTATCATTTTTATTTTATTAATCAAAATACATGCCCACAATATAATATTCAGTGTTGGTTTACCGAAACTCCGAACGCATGCATGTTGAGGGGCGAGCTGAGAAGTCTAATGTCTTCATCCGTTTGCAACAAAACTTTATAGTTTTGTTGCAAATGAATTAAGAATTTATAGTGCTATATCTCAGCTTAATTAAACATAATTATATTGTATACACGGTTTACAAAATCTGTAAAAATATTGCACTGAAATGTGCACTGAAGGAATTTGCGTATTTTAATTATAACATGTTTGTGGTTTTTCATCATTATACAGTCTGTTTAAATAAATATTCAGAAACACATGCAGTGCTACTTTTTGTTTTTTTTCTGTTTAACGTTTATTAAACTGCAGTTCAAAATAGAATAGGCCTATACCCTAAATAAGGATAAATTATATTGGAATTCATCTCCAAAATAATCACGTACACAGATGCACGTTGCCAGTACAGTAGTCAGCGCCGAACAACAGGCAAATAAAATATAAACTGATTTTACAAAAGTGATTCAGTCAAGATCAGTGTCAACTCTTTACGTTCACTTAAGACATAACTGATTGTATTTATGGAATATTTTTATATAATTCTGTGTGTATTTGTCCATTCGAATGTGTAAGAACACGAGAAAGAGAGCTCAGTCCAGTGTTTGCGTATATAAGAGGTGGCTTTTGTGCGTGCGCTTTGTGTGTGTGTGCAGCACAGAAAACAGCGCGCGAGTGCAGAAGTGAGTTCTATTTCGTCGTCTTGCAGTTGAATCTTTTGAAATCACTATAAATGCACATACAGAAATCGAGACGCAGAATTGAAATGTAATTTTATAACAAGTAATTTGATTCCTGACCTTAGGCATCTGATCTGATTTCCGAAATTGGAATAGCTTTTCGATTCCCAACCCTCCTACTAAATTATTTCATTCTTGCATGCAAAAAAACCTGTATGGTGACTATGAGGCTATGTAAAATATTTTTTGCAACTTACTAGGTTTATCATTTGTCATTTTTTCCCGATAATATCGTTAATCGTCTGTTACCTGACTGTTGACATCGACATCGCGATACTTACGAGACATCATCGATATACGATAATATCGTCATATCGCCCAGCCCTAGTTGTTTATGAATGTCACTAATGAGGTTTATTTTCGTTTAGCATGCTGCCTTAGAAAATATCCAGTGTAGACCATAGGCAGTGAGGAGGTTCACTAGGGAGTCTTGTTTGTTGTACTGTTTTCTTTTGCCTTCCTTATTGTCTTCAGCCTCGATTTATGTGCTTTCTTGGTTTGCTTTTTTGTGTTGTTCAGTGTAGGTTTATAAAAGGCACTATACAAACTATTAAAAATAATAAATATTTTTCTTTTTATAAATTAGGTTTATAAAAGGCACTATACAAACTATTAAAAATAATAAATCAATTATAATAATTATTAGGCACTTTATAAATTATTATTATTATTATTAAGCTTGTGTTAAGACTAATAATTATAACTAAATGAGTAAAGTTTTATAGTTTAAAGTTTAATTATAATTATTATTAACTACTATTAAATAATATTAATTGATTAATTATTAGGCACTAAATAAACCAATAATTATATTATAATAGTTATTAGACAAAATACAAACTACTGTTAATAATAATAAAAATAATAAAAAATAACATTTAATTCTAATAATTATTAGGCAAAACACAAACTATTTTTATTAATAATAATAATAGTGTTTGGAACAGAGCCATAGTGTAGAACAAAAGTATTATTTGTTTTTGGTAGGTTTGTGAAGCTCTGCTTCCTGCTTGTGAGGAGTTGTGTGCTGTTTTACACTAACACATGTTTTTGTGTGTGTGTGTGTGTGTGTTAGAGTGCAGCTCAACTCTGACGGGCTGTGAGGAGTTGTCTCAACGTCTGAAGCAACTTCAGAGGATTCTGAAGGCGGAGCCTGAAGACAAGGATGACGAGCCTCTTGACATCATCAGTGTGAAAGACAGAGACGCTGCCAAGGTCAAGATTAAGCTGGAACAGGAAGAGG